ACAAACTTTTTAGTTTGGAATAGAGGACTTGGCCATAGATGACCCTTTAGTTTCTGAGTCTAGTTGCTTATCTCTCCCCATTATCATTGCTTTCCATGGGAGGATGCTGCCTTAATCAACCCTAATCAAGCAGCATGTGATAGAATCCAAGTCCAGGAATCTATACGAGGGAAGTATAGTATGGACTTGGTTTCCTGACACATATGCTCCACCATTTATTAGAGCTCTTTGTGAAATGAAAATGAGATCAAGATTGAAATAGAGATTGACAAAGATTTGATGTGAGCCTTGAAAGCATTAGCATATTCATTAGATTATTTTAATTAATTATTTTGAATACAAGCCCGTCCTTTTTTTTTTCCCCAATCAAGATAAAGGGCTGAAAAAAGAATACTTGATAGGCAAGGTGGAATTAGAAAGTTCAATATTTTTTTGAGAACCTATTTTAATATCCTTATTTTTATACATCAAATTTTCCTTAGTCTATAATTATTATGGACAAACTGTTCATTATTAATAATAATTTTCTTGGATTTATTTGGTTTTTTGTTGTTTTTTTACCCAAGGAAGGGAAAAGAGTTCATGTAGATTTGTTTTCACACTTACTCTGGAAGAGGGTAAGTGAGGGAGGAATTAACACTTACCAGCATTTTACCAGTAGAGAAACTGAGGCACAGGCACCACAAGGAATCTACCTCAGGTCACACTAGCTGGTCTTTCCCAGAGACTTTAGAAGAAGCCTTGTCTCTTGATCCTACAATCCAGTCTTATTGGCATGGACCCAATGAAGAGCATCATTAATATGTTTACCTGCATGGCAAGGCCAGTACTGTAGATGTCCCCAATGATTCCATTGTTTTTGATCCTTTTGCTGATATTCTCCACAGTATTCTCTAGTACCTGACCAAACAGGGTTCTGTAACCTTCCTCTGATCCTACAGGAATCTTGTTGTACATACAGGTCAGAGCCAAGGTCACCATTGCTCCAGTGTCTGTGAATCATAGGGGGATAAGACAACCACTACCACAACAATATGAACAACTAACATTTATTGTGTGCTTACTGCATACTAGGTACATTATCTCCTTTACTCTTTGGAACAACCTGTGAAATAGGGCCTGTACTTATATCAATTTAAGGAATGAGAAATGGAATCCCAGAGAGGTTAAATAACTGCCCAAGCCCACACAGCTAGAAGGTAGCTGCGCCGGGACCTGAACCTAGATCTGTATGACTCCGAAGCTCATGCTTTTAATTAATATAGACTGGCAGTCTATTCACTCCCACTACTCTTATCCCAATATTTATCTTTCAAGAATGCCACTGGTTCTCAAAGGCCTAGCCATCACCATGTCTCCTTAAAGCCTTCTCTGGTCATCTCGGCACAACAGGTGCAATCTCTTTCCTGAAATAACATTCATTGTTTGTACTCGTTTTGCAATCTTAGCACTTTCTGCTGTTTTGTTGTTACTGGGCTCCATGAGTTCCTGGGTAGTGGGAGCTTAGCACCCCTGATAAGGCCCAGGACAGGGGCTTTTCCATTATTTTCACAGGAAAACATGTATGGACTGAATTAGCCAGCTCTGGCCTGACAAGACCAGAATGAATGAAAGACTTACCAGATGGTATATTTTCTTTTATTGATCTTCCCTCCCTACCCCAATCTCTACCATAAAGTTGCATGACCTCATTAAAGGTGACAGAATTGTTGAAACTAATGTTGTAAAAAATTTCCAGATGCTCCAGATGGTAATCAGAAGCCAGCCTGTTCTTTACCCACAGTGAGGAGACTAGAGTAAATATCTACCTGCTTGTTGGTCTGAATGACCCTAAAACAAGAGAGGTTGCTGATGAAGCATATTTAAGGGGGTAAAAACCGGAGTTAGCGCCTTTGCTTAGAGAGTGGCAGAGGAGTAAAATGACCATGAATGAGGGGGTATTATACAGAGAAGGGATCATTAGATGCAGAAGGGTGGGCCCAAGAAGGAAATAGTGTTATAGAGGAAAGGTTTTCATTCACAAGCAGCCATGTTTGCAGAATGAAGGGACAAGACAGTTCCACTGTGTCCTTGAAGGGGAGCACGGTGGGCTTAGGGTTCAGAAAGTAGCTGTTTAATAGACAGAGCATATTTGGATTTCTAAGGAGAAGCATTGAGAAGAATAGAATGTGGAAGCATCACTAGTGATAAAAGAGAGGGTTCAGGGTAGAGCTGAGTCTAGAAGATGTAGATTTAATAATTTGCCTGGGAACAAACCTGACCTAGGTGACATGTTTATTGCTCCCAACGGAGATTCTGTAACTGTTAGACATTTCAAGTGTTATCTAGGTTTTACCATCTACCTTTCATTTATTCCTTAATTCACATGTCCAACAAATATTTGTTAAATACTCCCCTTTACAGACATTTTCATGATCCCCAGCTCCTCCCCCTCCTACTTGCCCTCTAGCCCCACCATTCAGTGCCCTCAATGTTCCCAGCTCAGAGCAGTTTGAAAGTGGTGACCAACTCACCTACATTGAAGGGAGAGGAATTGGCCAGCAGGGTCTTGGCAAAACGGGCCGCTATTGGTAAGGCTGCCTCAGGGTTCTTCTGGCACAGTGCCAAGATCGCCAGACTGGGCCCATAGAAACTTGAAGCCTCAGCGTTGGGGCCTTGGGAGAGGATAGAGGGCCTACATAAGACTAACATTCACCACAATGAGGACATTTGTGAGATAAGAAATGCCAAACCTTTTAAATAGACATTGCTAGAAAACCTGTCCAAAAAGAAAGATACCATATTGGCTAAAGATCCCATCTATATTTCTCTGGCATGAGAATGGAATGAAAAGGGTTGGTGCTGTCTCCTGCCAGGTGATGGCATGGTAAGGCTGTGGCCCTGGGCTACTGGTCTTTTCTGGTTCATTTTGGATTGGAAGTGAGTAACTCATCTATGGAATTAGCAGAGGGAACCTGAGTGGAGATACCTTGTCTCTTTCCTAATTTCCCACTCTCCTACCCGTTTCTTTCTAGGTGTAAAATTCTCAGGAAGGACCATTTGCCTCACCCTCCACTCCCTTCCGACGAGGTCTTACTTGAAGGTGCCCAGGTCTCCATTTGTCTCTGTAGAGTGGACACTTTATTCCCAGGGTCCCGGCAGGAGGAGGTGAGGGCCATGATGGTGAGTGCGAGCTGACCAACGGTCATATCTGCACAGCAGAGAACAAAATAGTTAAAGGTATTTTCAGGCAAGAGAAAGCAACAGGGGCCAGAGCTAAACTCTCTGCTTCTTTCCAGATCATTTTGAATTTTAAAATAATGTGATTTTTTAAATCTGTCTTAATTCTTAAAGAAAGAAGTATGGAGAAAAAATACTTAAGGAACATTTAATCCAGTGGCCTCTATGTGACTTGAGAACTCCACCAAGAATCCACAGTGTTTGTTTAGAAAAGCAGCAAGAACTCCCATACAAATTCACATATGAAAATTTATAGTTGCAAAATAATTTTTTAAAATACATTTTTCTTGATTTTAGAGAGGAAAGGAAAGGGAGAGATAGATAGAAATATCAATGATGAGAGAGAATCATTGATCAGCTGCCTCCTGCACTCCCCACACTGGGTATCGAGCCCACAATCTGGTCATGTGCCCTGACTGGGAATCAAACTATGACTTCCTGATTCATAGGTCAATGCTCAACCACTGAGGCACACTGGCCAGGTGAAAAATAATTTTAACTTTATTTTTTAACTTGAGATTCAAGGCAACTCCTGTGAGGGAGCAGAACAGATATTTGATTATTATTATCCTTGTTGTGATTACTATTAGTGTTATTGTTATTAGAATCATCTGAATTTTGCAAATGAGGAAAATGAGCTTAAGTAGGATAGAGAGACTGTTCAAGGTCAGGGTTAATAAGTGGCAGATCCAGAACTGGAAGCCCACTGTTTTTCCATCTAGTCTAGAGCTCCTTTTGCATTAGTACACTCCTCTATGAATGTCCCGACTTCATACACAGATCTTTCCATGTGTTTTCCAGATATGTTGGGAAAGGTGTTTGGGAGATTTAGATATATTCAGAGACCACCACATTGGGGTTGGGGATTGGGAGTTGGGATCTGGGGTGGTGAACAGTGTGCAGGATTCAGGGAGCATGTGAATGGAGAGGCTTGGACTTCTCACCAGCTGTGTCAGTGGCCATGAGCTGGCGAGTCAGGAGCTTCTGGGCCTCCAGGTTGTAGGGTCCAGCCAGGTTCATGGCAATCAGGACGCTGGGGTTGGGGTAGGTTGAGTGGGTCACAGAGTTCTCCATAAGCACTTGCATACTGTCAACCAAGGGCTGCTGTGCTGGGGGAACAGCTGAGAAGAGACAAGACATTTACAAAACCCCTCACCCTTTTTCCCCTCTTCCCAGAAACATGTTCCCTCGGTCTTTTAGGAGAAGACAGGATTAGCATTTCAATCATCAGTGATGCTTCTCAAGGCTGATTACTAAAAAGAAATGGAGAAAAACATTGAGATTTTTCTTCAGAGGCCAATTAGTCCCTACATCTTGTCAAATACTTTCTCTTTTTTAAGGAAGTGATTTCTCATTTAACAACTTCAAGCAATATGGCTCTTGGACAGTTCATATTATTTCCAGCACATTCCCCCCAAATCAGTTTTCCTTGCATCCATTTTTTTCCTCATTCTGTAATGACAAATTAAAGATTTGAGATATGACTCAGTGAGTACCCAAAAGGGATCTAGTAGAGGTACCTGGTAAGAAAGGCTCACTGGGTGTGCCTTTGTACCATCATTTCTGAAACAGTATTTTAATCTCTCTTTATATGAAATGCATAGATTTGTCTCTCAAAGAACTTTCACTATTAAGTCAGGAAAGATGAACCACACATGCCCACCATGGCTCACCATTTTGGAGCTCCTATAGTGATTGCTTTTTTCACCACTTTCTTATCAGCAAACCTGTGCCTGAGGTTTCCGCCTGTCCCCTGGGTATCTGCTTCCCTGACATCCTCAGGAAACACACTATACTTACAGCATGAGCTTCGGGTCTGGGTGCTGGTCCCAGCAGTAGCCCAGAGAAGGTTCAGGAGGTAAAAGGTAAACCAGGCCATCCCTCTCTCTCCTGTTCTGTCCACGTCTCCAGTTAAAAAATCCCAGTGTTATTAAGAGGAGTATTTCTCTACTTTCCCTTATATAGGCTCCTCTTTATGGAAAGTCTGCCCTCCACCCCCATCCCAGTCACTCCTAATAACCTCTGCTGACCTCTCCCCCCCCCGCCCCCCCCCCCTCGCATAGAACTAATTTCCTTATGCTTATCTAAGTTTACCTACTATCGACCTTCCAAGGTGTCTGAAGGTGACTTCTAGGTAGCACAGTCATATGAGAAACTTGGGCTGTGTGTGTAATGAAGGAAATGACAAAGTGCCCTTTAGCCAAATTCTGGGTCTTTACACTGGGAGTATGGCTAAAGACTGAGATAAATGAGACTTCCTCCCAGCATTACTCCCTGTCAGACCACTTCATTGAGGTGTGTGTGGTTCCTAACACAACACCTCACTTCATGGTTTGAGGTATGTGCTTTACCATATGCCCTTTGAGGCTGTCAGGAAATGATCTGCCAGGTGAAGTCTGGCTTTATGTAATCAATGAAGTTGATATGACCTGGACTCCAGTCTAGGCTCTTTGAAGTTGTTTGACTTTAGGCAGGCAAAGGACCTGCTTCCCAGAAATTTTGTTTGACTTCTCTTTCCTTATCTGGGGATGAAAGTATTTTTCAGATATTATCTCTTAAAGTAAGTAATTAGAAAATGTGAGATCTATGCACTATATTAAGTGTTAAGGATATACAGGTATGGGCAAAAGTAAGTAAAGAACTCTGTGCCAGCTTGTCAAGGGCGGGGCGGGGGGGGGGGGAAAGGACACTTATGTAATACCCTTTGTAATACTTTTAGCGAAAAAAAAAATAATAGAGTATTTCAAAAGAAAAAAAAAAAAAGAACTCTGTGCCAAAGTGTGCTTGGGTATAGCAAGTAGACTACAAATATTCTCATGGAGGCTCCCTCACTTCTTTCATGTCTCTGCTCAGAGGTCAGCTTTTAGTGAGGTTTCCCCAGACCACTGTATATAAGACATGCTCACCCAACAACCCTTACTGTGTACCTTACCTGTATCACTTCTCACTATGTGTGCAGTTTATTTATTGTCTGTCGCCTTCCAACTAGAGTGTCTGCTCCAAGAGGCTTTGTCTATTTTGTTCATAGCTCTGTCCCCAGCATTTGAGATACTACCTAGCTCATAGTACCACTTGAATACCTTTAGAATGAGTGAATTAATGAACAATATAAGACAGGTTATAAATCATATTTTTCATTTTCAGGGAACATTAGTAGTTTTTGTGAGGTGAGAGCACAGGGTACATGTTGGGGTGTGCTAGAAAGCTTCTAGCATGGCTCCATGTTCCCAGCTCCTGGTATATTCCCTCACATAACCCCCTTCTCTAGAGTGTGGGCTGGCCTCGTCTCTAATGAATATAATACAGCAAAAGTAATGGGATGAGGTTACAAAAGACCAACTTCCTTCTCGCTTGCAGTCTCTCTCTAGCTCTTCTCATTTTTTTGCTCTGATAAAGCCATCTGTCATATTGTAAGTTGTCTTGGGGAAAAACCATGTGTTGAAAACTGAGAGAAGCTTCTAGCCAACAGCCAGGGAGGGAGTAATCCTGTCAATGACCATGCAATTTTTATTTAATTATTCCTATTGGCTCAAGCATCAAGTCTAATGTTATTTCACTCTGCTTCCTAATGTTATTAGCTGGAAAGCAGAACCTTCCCCAGTCAAGCTTTGAGATGAAGGAGGCACCAGGCGGCATCTTGACTTCAGCCTTGTGAGAGACCCTGAGCCAGAGGACCCAGTTAAGCCTTCCCTTGGATTTCTGATTCACAGAAACTGTGAGATAAGAAATGTTGTTGTTTTAAGCCATTGAGTTTTAGGGTAACTCTTTAATGCAGCAATATATAATTGATACATGGTCTATGTGGGAGATGAGACCAGAAAGACAGTTTGGCTCTGCATGGTGGAGGGCCTGTGTGCCATGTGAGGGAGTATAGACAGAATAATAGCCACTCTAGATGTCCATATCCTAATTCCTGGAACTGGTGAGTGTGTTGGGTTATCTGGTAAAGGGAATTAAGGTTGCACATGGAATTAAGGTTGCTAATAAACTGACTTTAAGATAGGAAGATTATCTGGGATTATCTGAGTGGGCCCAAAGTAATCACAGCAGTTCTTATCAGTGGAAGAGTGAGGCAGGAGAATTAGAGTCAGAGAAGGTGATGTGATGATGGAAGCAGTGTGTTGACTTTGAAGGTGGAGGGAATGTGAGCCTAGGAATGCAGGCATCTTCCCAAACCTGGAAAGGCAAGGAAATAGATTCTCCCCTAGAAACTCTAGAAGAACATAGCTCTTTCAAAACTTTGATTTCAGACCAGTGAGATCCATTTCAGACTTCTGACCTCCAGGACTGTATGATAATAAATTTGTCTTGTTTTAAGCCAATAAATTTTTGTGGTAATTAGTTACAGCAGCAATAAGAATCTAATACAGAAATAGGAACCCCAGCATATTGTTGATCTTAGGTTCCAGAGCCTATACATGACCATCCTGAGAGAATCCACACACCCTGGTGTGCCCACTCTTTAAACATACACTTCCTTATAAATTACTTCTATGGCCATGGTTACTGCAGATTGATTATGACACAGCTGCTTCACTTAGCAAATAACTTGCAGACAGGAAACCATAGGCCATACATTACTTCACTACACAGTATGTTTTGACAGTTCTTGGTTAGTTATCAACTGGGCTTATTTATTTATTTGCTTTTTTCCTGTGCCTAAATTCCTAGTATCAAAGCACCCAGACTCCCTCTCTGGACATTTTAAAGATTTATTTGGGTTGATTATTCTTTGCTGTGGCAGCAGATGGAAGTTTGTCCCTTCAGACAATATGTAGGTTTTATAATAGTCCCAAGACTTAGGTGCTTCTGAGAATGTAAGTGAGGACAGAGCTAGGTTTCACCAAGTTCATATTAGTGGACTGGTAAGGGAATGTGATTCCATTAACCATCTGGCTATCTCTGAGTTTAAAGGAGTTTCTACCATATGGCAGTGTTACTACCTTCTATTTAGAGACCACTGGCTGGAGAAACTCAGCTCTCTTTGTTCAAAATGAACGCTAATAACATTAGGAAGTATAATGTGAGACTTGATGCTTGAGCCAATTGGAATAATTAAATAAGAATTATAAAGGAAATGACCTTTTAATGGAGAGAGAGAGAGAGAGAGAGAGTGAGTTAGGGATCTCAAAGGGACATCCAGTATTCCAACCTTGTTATACTGAGAGTCAATTTCATTGGTCAATTATAAGGTCAGTACTTTCTGTTATTTTTTCTGTTATTTTGACATATTTGTGTCTATGTTTTTTGCTTAAGCTTCCCTGTTTTTCCTTATGGGCAAAATAGAGCATATGTTTTGGTTTTCCCAGGATAGTCTCAGTTCTTAATCTGTTTTTTCAAATGTAATTATTAATAGTGTTCACTGTCACTCTTTATAGTGTCATGGCTGGATAATAAACTGTATGGTCACACATTTTATTATGGACAGTAATGCCAATTGTAACATTTTGCATATCTGCCACCTTAAACCATTATACTTCAATTTCCCATAGACTATATAGTCTACAAACAGATCTGACAGCTGCTGCCCCATGCTAACAGCACCAAACCAGTGACCTCTGGGTTCATGGTTCAATGCTCAGTTACTGAGCCACACTGGCTGGGCACTATGATTCAACTTTTTTTTTTTTAATGAGTTCTGCTGAAATGAACATCAGAGGTGATTTTTTTGGTACGTCTCTTTAAAAAAAATTTTTTTAAATTGATTTCAGAGAGGAAGGGAGAGGGAGACATAGAAACATTAATGACAAGAGAGAATCATTGATTGGCTGCCTCCTGCATGCATCACACTGGGGATCAAGTCCGCAACCCGGGCATATGCCCTGACTGGGAATCAAATATTGAACTCCTGGTTCATAGGTCCATGTTCAACCACTGAGCCATGCCAGCCAGGCTGCATGTTTCTTTTAATGACATGAATATCACGCGATTTTTATGAGTAGAAAAGGAAAGTAAATGTGGAGGGGATGATATTTTTCCTTAAACTTTATGGATTGACTTTTATGTATAAACCTCACACTTCCATTCTGAGAAGAGCAACATTTTCCTTTTTAACCCAGTGCCTGTGTGAGGTCCATTTATCCACTTGGTTCCTTCCTTGCATTTGGGCCTCCAAGAGCTTGGTCTCCCTACAGGTGTCTAGTTGATCTCATTGCTTGTGGCTGCAACAGTAGACCTAGAACCTTATTTCCATTCTCCCCAGTGGCCCAAGGTCACCCAGATAGTTATCAGGGGGACCTTGAATAGAACTCAGCTTTTTAGACATGGTTTAATCTTTCACTTTGCTTCTTCCTGAGGTGGTCTTCTCTCTAATAATAATCTCCCTTTAAAATAAAATGATTAGAACATACTATTTTTGTATACTTGTTGATATTTATTGAACATGCAAAGAGAGAAAGGGAGGTGTTTTAAGCTCCTATTGTGATTGAGATAAATAAAAAGAAAGGCATGAGGCCAATATCCACATGGAATTCCACTGCAAAAGAATTAGATCCGGCAGAGGAAGGTTTGAGTTTATTAGTATTTGCTCCAGCGAACCTCCAAATTTTCTCCATTATGGACAACATATCTTCCAACTCCTGGAAGGAAGAAGAAGGAGAAGTGGGTCAAATGATTTGACCATCAAATCACTAAATAATGGATATCACTCTCCCAATTCCATGCCACATTTCCCAGAGAAGCTCACACCCTCACATATGAACAGTCTGGGCCTTTTCACTTTGTAGGGCTTTTGGCATACTCTCCCTTACCTTGGGTCACTGGTTCGCCTCCACTCAGAAGTTGCCAGTAGGTTCTGTCATTATGGTTCTCCTCCAAGCCCTGAACAGAGATGATGTAAGGGCCCCACGAGCTCTCCACATATTTGAAACTATGGGGGCAATGAATAGGTTACAGGAACTTAAAAATTAAAAAAAAAATATAGTTTTATTGGTTTCAGAGAGGGAGAGAGAGATAGAAACATCAGTGATGAGAGGGAATCATTGATTGGCTGCCTCCTGCATGCCCCCTACTGGGAATTGAGCCCACAACCCGGGCATGTGCCCTTGACAGGTATTGAACCCGGGATCCTTCAGTCTGCAGGCCGACGCTCTGTCCACTGAGCCAAACCAGTTTAGCTTAGAATTTTCAAAGGCAATTGTACATGGACATTTTTCAAACTTTAATGTCCTAAGAATCACTTGAAGATGTTACCCCCAAAATGCTTATTTCCTGGACCTATCCACAGATATTTTGATTCTGTAGGTCTGGGCTGAGACCAGGAATCATCACATTTCATAAACTAAGTGATTTTGATACAGGCAGTTCCAGTCCATGCTAAATTTGGGAAATGATGCCCATGTTCTTGCCCTTCCCTCCCACCATAGGAGACACGTTGAAGACAACTTCTACCCTAAGATAGTCACTGTCAAAGTTACTAAAACAGTAGATGAAAGTGTTAACCTGATATCCTAGAGGCACCATAAGTCCTAAGTTAGTAGGTTTTCTCTTCAGAAAGAGAAATAGGGAAGAATAATTTAATATTTCATGATTGTTTATTAGAACTTCTATCATTTGCAACATCATGGATGGACCTGGAGAGCATTATGCTAAGCAAAATAAGTCAATCAGAGAAAGATAAATATCACATGATCTCACTCATTTGTGGAATATAATGAACAACATAAACGGATGAATAAAAACAGATCCAGAGACAGAGAAGCATCAATCAGACCATCAAACCTCAGAGGGATATAAAACAAACAAACAAACAAACAAACAAAAAGACAAACAAACAAAACAATCTCAGAGGGAAGGCAAGGGAGGGTGGGGGGGAGGGGGAGAGATCAACCAAATGACTTGTATGCATGCATATAAGTCTAACCAATGGACAAAGACACTAGGGGTGTGAAGGCACGGGTGGGGGTGGGGTGGGAGGGGCAATGGGGGGATAAGGACACATATATAATATCTTAATCAATTAAAAAAAAATAAATAAATAATTTTTTAAAAAGTATAAAATGCCCTCAAAAAAAAAAAAGTGATATGGTTGCCCTAGCTGGCCTGGCTCAGTTGGTTGGAGCATTGTCCATGCACTGAAGGGTCTCGGGTTCAATTCCCGGTTGGGGCATGAGTGGGAGTTAACTAATCAATGTTTCCCTCTCCCTCTCCCTCTCCCTCTCCCTCTCCCTCTCCCTCTCCCTCTCCCTCTCCTTCTCCCTCTCCCTCTCCCTTCCTCTCTCTCTCTTTAATAAATAGAAACATATCCTTGGGTGAGGATTAAAAAAAAATGACATGGTCAATATATGTTTCACATTTTTTAGTCATATTTCTGGGAGCACTTGCAAGGAGCCTTTATCATTATATATATTATAATATATATATATATTTTCATATATATATTATATTCTTTGTAGCATCTTACATCATGTTATTAAACATAATAAACAATTGTCAATTAGGTTTAAGAAACCAAGTAAACCACAGTTTTCAGAGACAAATTCAATATCTTAATTTTAATATTTGACTTCTCTAGGCCAGGGAACCTTTATCTAGGGGGTCCATGAAATCTGATGAAAGGGGTAAGGCATAGAGAGGCTTCCAGGCATTTGTGAAACCTCTGATTTAATGATGTTTTATGTGTATGTTCATTTTTCTGCAATGAGCATCCTACTCAAAGGGGTCAGTGACTAAAAATAGTTAAGAACCACTGTTCTGGACACAAAATGCCTCCCTTAAGAAGTTATATTTATTGAAGAAGTTTTACTGACAGAGTGAGGTTCCTGGGACTTATTCATCCACTAGCTGAACATTAATCTAATGCCTAATATGTATTAGAAGATGAAAGGTCTCACCTCTTTCATCTGCCATGAGATGTAGAAGGTCAGTAAAGGTACTGATTAAGATGTGTTTTAACTGTTCATTGTATTTATGTGCAGATGTATTTTTTTACTCTTACAAAATCACACTAAATCCCTTAACCTGAGGTTATGTACAACATACCGAAATGCAGTCTGATTGATTTTCTGAGCTTCCTCCATCACATTCAGGAAGACAGAACCCTTTGGCACGGTGACTTTGGTGAAAAATGTTTCATTGATTTGCACAGTGTAGTTGACTGAGATCCATGTGGATGAAATGGTAGGTTCCACAGGTATTGGCTCATGAATAGAGATGTTAAGGTGACCTGAAAGAGACAGGAAAGCAGAAAAGAGTTATTATTCAGGACAATAAAAATAGTGTTAGAGTTTGCACACCTATCCAACTTCTATCCACAAACTCCTTTCCTTTATGCAGAGGGGATTTGCTACAGGAGCAAGTGGTGTCAATCAAGGGGCAGAGTTCTCATGTGATGAAAGCAGAAATGAAAACCAGATGCTCACCAGCTTGTGAATGCTCATGCTCAGCTTGACTCCCAGCTGTTTAAACATTTCAGTTGCCCCATCCCCTATTTCTCATGGAGGCTCCTGAGTTTTTCCTTTTGGTACAGCATACAATAATGCTTCATCTTTTTGCCTTTTTATTTCTTAACATTTATTAAAAAATCGTGCACCAGGAACTGTACTAGTCATTTTATGTGAACTGTTTCATTCAATCCTTACAAAAACCTACATTAGATACTATTATCATTTGCATTTCTTACATTAGAAAACTGAAACTTAGAGGTTAGACATTTTGTCCAAGTTCCCTAGACCTGTCAGTGTCTGAACCAGGAATGAATGTAATAGAAGAATAAGTTTATCTTTTTGCAAAATCAGTGATGCACACTGCAATTTCTTTCAATATTGCCACATTCCTCCCACACAGATGTCTTATTTCCCTGAGGGATCACTTACTGTGTACAATGGAAAGTCAGAGATGCCATACTTTGTTTAGGATGGGAATGATACTCAGAACATCTCCAGCAATCAGAAAAATACTTTTGGAGATAGACACCTTTTAATCAAGTCTACCTTGTTTATCAGTGTTTCAACCAAGAATGACACCTACCACCTTGTTAAGAACAAATCCTCAGATGGGTATAATCTCTGATGACATATTAAGGACTGAGTTCTGTGTGGAAACTATGATGCTTTAGAGATTTATTTGGTCACTTTTGGTCCCTAAGGACATCTAAATCTCACGTGCTTTGGGTATTATGCTGAAAGGCAAAAACAGTTTACTCTTTAGTTCTTTACCTGGACCACTGGCACAAGAAGAGACATTGTTAACATCCAAGTAGGTTTTTCCCATCAGGGCAGGTAAGATCTGGGCTG